CTCATGCCAGGTCAAGCAGGGAAGATTACAAACTTGTAGCAGTGTGTGTATATAAAAATATCTTTGTCCTGCAGATACATAGACGCAGTGTCCCTCCCAGCAGGAAAATCACTCACTAGCTCATCCCCTGGATGGGACCAGTCTCTCCTCATTGCAAGCTAATATCTGCAGATCCTGGCTTTGGATCCTGGCTCACTCATCATTTCTGAAAACAGCCGCATTATCTGAACCAGCATCCTGTTTTGGTCTCTTCTCTTTTCATTGATCAGCTGGTGGGGCACACACAGATCTGTCCTTGACTTTCCAAAGGTCCCATCGCAGGCAGTATGCTCTGAGGTGAGTGCATATTATATATGATCTCATTGAGTTATAAGTGAGCAGACCATGTAACATTCTGCATTCAGGTAGATTTCAAAGCCAGAGAGAAGGCATTAATTATTATTTTTTTTTAAATAATTATAAATAAAAAAAAAAATACTATGTTAACTCTTACAGTGCTGAATGTTTGGGGTGACTCAGTCTATTGCCAAAATGCTACAGATCCCTAGCTTTACAGAATTACAGGGGGAATTTGGGAAAAGGGTAAAAGCCTTTGCTTTAAAGGACTACACAATAGGATACTGCCAGTTAACCCCTCTGTATGGCATTCATAGTGTTAAATGCAAGACCATTATCTCATCCCCAACATTCTTCAGGTCATTTAATTGTTTAACCCTTAAATTTTTTATTGTATTTGAATATGATGGTTATGAAGTACACAGAGAATTTCACTATAGTTGTTGCAAATTCAAGTTAAAACACTTTGGAGTTTGTTCACTAAATTTAGACATGTACAAAATGAACAATGGGATTGCAAGAGTTTGTCCAAAACAGCCAAACTGGAATGTTTCCAATATTTCTAAAAATTGTACTTCCTTCGTCATTGCTCCAAAATGTTTAATTTATGAATAATATCTTATTAATAAATTGGATTATAAATTATGGACAAATTTTGCCTCTAACACTACACTAGGGTAGATAAAAAATACTAACTGCTAAATAAATCCCTCTGTCTGAAAAGGTTGTCTTCTTACTAATTACTTAACCATTTTATGCTGAGATTTGAATGTATTAAGAACTAATTGTGCAAGCAACATTATTCAAACCAGATATCAATAATAAGATCATGTTTGCTGGAGCTTTGCAAAAATCAGTGTTGCGATCTATAGCAGAGATAAGGCATTTTCATGTAAGCAACTGCCTTATCAGTACACATTGCTCCCCTTTATGGAGAGAAGTTTGTGACGTAATAGCATGGCTGCACACCCCAAATCTGCACTACATCTGTCAGGCGCTCTCATAGCTTTCTATTATTTCTGTTTAAACAGCAGTTTCTTTTTTATATCTTTTTTTAACATATTCTGAGATCTCGAGGTGAGCCAAGAGTCAGTGACACCAAGCTGCAAAAATTATTTAATGCCTTATTAAGGGTAAACCACCTTTTCATATCTGCCTCATACGTTACATGCCATACACCTTTAACATTATGAGCTGGCATCATGGGGAATGTGGTCAATAGCAATGATGAAAATATGAGGTTGCGTAACCATTGCAGATGTTTTTGGACGCATTGGGGATTGTTGTGAACAAACCAAGGCTATCCATGCTGCAACACTTGTATTAGAGGCCACATTTTTTAGGGTGGTTGACCTTCATGAAGATTATGGCCCTCACATTTCTAGTCTACAGACATCACAGATAATGCTCCCGCAGTGTAGGGTAATGTGGAGTAGGTTTCTCAGAATGCTTGGCCGAGCAAAGGTTGGCCGCGCAATTCTCAAAAATCAAGTATACATTCACTTATATCCTATTTATCCTTCATCACCCATGATTCTATTTTATTCCATATTATCCGAGCCCTGCCCCTGTAATCTCATCATAGCCCTGCCCCCGTTATCTCATCTGAGTCCTGTCCTTTTTACATAATCTCAGCCCTGGGCCTGTCATGTACTTCGAGTCCTGCCCCTGTCATGTTCTCCGAGTCTTCCCCTGCCACATCCTCCCAGCCCTGGCCATGTCATATCCTCCTCATCCTGCCCCTGTCACATTACCCACCCTGTCGTGTTATCCCAGCCCTGCCATGTTATCATAGCCCTGCCCCCATCACGTCCTCCCAGTCCTGCCCCTGTCACGTCCTCCCAGTCCTGCCCATGTCACGTCCTCCCAGCCCTGCCCCTGTCACGTCCTCCCAACCCTGCCCCGTCATGTCATCCCAGCCCTGTCATGTTATCCCAGGCCTGCCCCCATCACATCCTCCCAACCCTGCCCGTCATGTCATCCCAGCCGTGCCCTTGTCACATTATCCCAGCCCTGCCCCCATCACGCACACATAGCCCTGCCCTTATGTTATCCCAGCCCTGACCCTGTCACGTCCTTCCAGCCCTGCTCCTGTCATGTTATCACAGTCGTGCCCCTGTCATCTTATCCCAACCCTGCCCATGTCATGTTAACCCAACCCTGCCCTTGCCATGTTATCCCAGCCCTGCCTCTATAATGTTAACCTAGCCCTGCCCCTGTCACGTTATCCCAGCCCTGCCCCTATAACGTCCTCCCAGCCCTGCCCCTGTCATGTTATTCCAGCCCTGCCCCGTCACGTATTCCCAGCCTTGTCCCTGTCACGTCCTCCCAGCCCTGTCCCTGTCACATCCTCCCAGTCCTGCCCCTGTCACGTTATCTCAGCCCTGCCATTGTCACGTCCTCCCAGCCCTGCCCCTGTGATGTTATCACAGCCGTGCCTCTGTCATCTTATCCCAACCCTGCCCATGTCACGTTAACCCAGCCCTGCCCTTGCCATGTTATCCCAGCCCTGCCTCTATAATGTTAACCTAGCCCTGCCCCTGTCACGTTATCCCAGCCCTGCCCCTATAACGTCCTCCCAGCCCTGCCCCTGTCATGTTATTCCAGCCCTGCCCCGTCACGTATTCCCAGCCTTGTCCCTGTCACGTCCTCCCAGCCCTGTCCCTGTCACATCCTCCCAGTCCTGCCCCTGTCACGTTATCTCAGCCCTGCCATTGTCACGTCCTCCCAGCCCTGCCCCTGTCATGTTATCTCAGCCCTGCACCTGTCATGTCCTCCCAGCCCTGCCCCGTCACATCCTTCCAGCTGTGCCCCTGTCATGTCCTCCCAGCCCTGTCACGTCCTCCCGTCCCTGTCACATCCTCCCAGCCCTGTCCTGTCACGTCCTCCCACACCCCTGTCACGTCCTCCCAGCCCTGTCCCTGTAACGTCCTCCCAGCCCTGTCCCTGTCACATCTTCCCAGTCCTGCCCCTGTCGTGTTATCTTAGCCCTACCCCTGTCACGTCCTCCCAGCCCTGCCCCTGTCATGTTATCTCAGTCGTGTCCCTGTCATGTTATCCCAGCCCTTCCCCTGTCATGTTATCTCAGTCGTGTCCCTGTCATGTTATCCCAGCCCTGCCCCCGTCATGTTATCCCAACCCTGCCCCTGTAATGTTATCTCAGCCCTGCCCCCGTCACGCCCTCCCAGCCCTGCCCTGTCATGTTATCTCAGCCCTGCCCATGTCATGTTATCCCAGCCCTGCCCCTGTCGTGTTTTCTCAGCCCTGCTCCCGTCACGTCCTCCCAGCCCTGCCCCATCATGTTATCTCAGCCCTGCCTTTGTCATGTTATCCCAGCTCTGCCCCTGTCATGTTATCCCAGCTGTGCCCCTGTCATGTTATCCCAGCCCTGGCTGATAGAGGCACAGAACTTTATATTGTTGCCTTTGTTAGAAATCACAGGCAGCGTCTAAACTCTTGCAGCCACCTAACAGGTTTAGCATTCTTGGTTAAGGAATTTTTCCTTATTCTCTTTAACAATATACTTCTAGTTTAGAAACATTCTTAGATTATCTCTCACGTACTCTGTGTATATATCAGCCAAGAGAGTCTCAATAATATTCAAGCCTGAGGGGTGTGAAAGCCATTCCAAAACCTTAAATTTGTTTAACTGGAACTTTCACTGTCAGATACTCACAGTTTTCCCTCTTCTTCCACCAAGGTTAAAAGGGAAATGGACCTGTAGAAGGTTCAAAGTGAGTTGCATAGGGTCATTCCAAAAACTGGGTGGCCCTTTTGAAAGGAACTCTCCAACACCATAACAATCACAGTGGGTCCGCTGGGCGCGTCTCCAAGCCTCCTCTCAATATCCAGGCAGGAGAGTTGGGACCTCCATTAGCTCTCTTGAGTTAAGTCTTGCAGTGCAGAGCTAGCTCATTGGCTGAGTGTGTCAGCTGATTGCTCTCATCCAATGAAATAAGCCCTGCACCGCTCAGACTTAGCTCAGACAGAGATCTTCCAGTTCTTCTTTACGCTATAGTGGAGGTGGGGAGCGGCGCCCATTGGAGCCCAGGTACTTATGGGAACCAGCCACTCCAGGCACCATAACCACTACAGTGCATGTTCTGAGTAAAGGAGGGGGAAAGAACAGGGAGGGATTTTCCATTTAAAAAGTAGACTCTCCTTATGTCTGTACGTGCTGACGGCATTCGTAAATTATGCACAGAATTGACATTAGGCTGCCAAGTCACGTGTGCCAGGGGTGTAAATAACCTTTGGGGTGAACTCATGCAAATATCTCAAGTTGAAACACTGCACATAGAGATTCCTAATCACTGAAGTGGTCATGGTGGTTGGAGTAAACCTTTAAGCAATTGTTAGAGCAAAACACTATTCTCAAAACAAGTCAGGATTAACCCTGCAGTCAGCTTCCAGACTGGTTACCTCAGCACCAAACCCAGCAAGTTCACGGGTATTCAGATAGCCATTGTGATCTAAATTAATAAGTCAGCTATATCAAGATTTAAAGTTATTGTTTTTTTCCAAATACCAACATTTGTCATATTTTTTTTCACTATAAATTTCTGCAGCTAACAATCCTCTTGTGTTTCAGTACCGGTACTACAATCTTACAGATGACATCTTAGCACGAAGAATAAACTATGGATAAAATCCTTGAAGCGGTCATGCAGTCTTCTTATCCAATGTATATTAAGCAGAGCTTGGCTCGAAGAGTCATTGAAGCCTCAAAACAACCTATTGATAGCGAGCAGTGCTGGTCTATGCTGGAACTGTCCACCAAACTCTTCTTCTTGAGCGAGTCCTGTTTTGCAAGAGAGACAGCCAGAGAAATCCTGGAAGTCTATGGCAGGTATCATTCCGAGGAATTTGAAGAATTTTTCAATGCCAGATTTATTCTGACTTTACTTCAGGAAGGTTATGGAACACAGGGTAAGAAACATCCATATATACTGGATTACATAAGTCTTGGACTTCCATTTGTACTGGACAAACCAACCACTGAGGACATCTTCAGAATTCTCAGAATAGAAGTGCTTCGTACTGTATGTGAAAGACCAAGTCTTGCTATTTGTGTTAGGATTAGCAGGCTTTTAACTTCATACCCTCAGTGTGTTCCCGTGAGAAAACATCAAGTTCTGTTCTGCCAGCAGCTGATAAGATGTATTGGAAGGTTTCATTGCACATCAGATGGTGAGGAAGGAATTGTTCACTACTTGGACCAGGTAAACACAGTCACAGGACTACTGCAAAATATCTGGAAGATTCAGCCTACTTTAGTCCTTCCATCTTTAAAGGAACTGTTTGCCATTATTTCATCAACAGGTAAATAACTGTCCAACAACAACGTATATACTGGTGTTTAAATGACCTTGCAAGGCAGGTGCTCTGAGCAATTTCTGCCTCTTGAGTTTAGATCCATTGAGCTAAATAATCAGGAAGTAAAATTACTTGTTTTTGATTGACAGCCAAGTTTAATTTATAAAAGTGCCAATATCTATTGAAATCTGCAGTTTTTGTAAAACGAAAATGAGTACACACTACTCACACATAAAGCATTTCGGCAAGCTAAAGTGATTTAGATGATTGGAGTGTGCCTCTTTGACAGTCTCAGCCAGTCATATGGGAAAGCATTGTGATGGGCTCAGGACAACACTTCTGATGATATCTGCCAAGCAGGCAGATCAGGGCAGAGGCAGCAGCTGCAGACTTGAACAATACTAAGATTTTACTTTATTTAGGGGGTAGTGGGGTGGGGGAGTGGCAGAGGGGCTAAATTGTGGTTTTAACGTAAAAGGGTCAGTAATACATTTTTGCTAATGCTTGAGTTACATGTATTTTGCTAAATATTGTAAGTGAATACATGACATGATTATTTCTGGATTTTTGTATCCTGCAAACAATCAGCTCACTAATCCCTACCACACCTGTGCATTCACAGCTAATAGTACCACTGCTTTTTTACTTTTAGAAGATTCTGAAGCTCCTTCTAATTCGCTGGCAAGTGTGGTGCAGTATATTCCATTGGAGCCAATGGAAGACGTGGTGAGAAATTTGGCCAATTCTGACAGTGTAGCAGACTCACAGATGATGACAGCTATCAGCAGGTACATATACATGTTTTTACGGTCTTCAAGTGGTTTGAAAAAAAAACCACTGAGCATTCCCCTATCATCTAAAGCCCACCCCATCTGATTGGGCCGAAAATATTCGTTCTCAGTATAACAGGTTTTGGCTTCTCGCTCTAACTCCCTGCATCATTCTTGGTGTTAACCTGATTAGCACCACGGACCCAACAGAGGCTCCCTTAGCTGTGGGTAGTGACCGCATGTGAATAAAGATGGAATGATGTCTGTATTGCCTGTACATCGCCAACTTTTCTCTCCCCCACTTGTTTCTCCTCCTCTGTCCTCACTCTTGTCTTTCTCCTCATCTCCCAACACTTCTGTTTTCCCCTCTGCTTGTTCATCTCTCCCCCTTGTGTTTCCCACCTGTAGACCTGAGAACTTTGGTTGGCAGGTCTGATTTCAAGAGATGAAGGTGGTGGGTGGTTATTTGCAGGGTGTCTGGTACTGGAATAAGGATGTGTTTAAACCTTTTAACACTACTACGCTCAGAGTAACCTCAGCTTTTTGATGTAGTTATGGATACATAAGTGACTGAGTACAATCTTACCTTCAAAGGTAAATCCATTTCCAAAGTTTTAACCCCAATGTTGGTCCTCTAGCGCCATCACAATTTCCTACCTTCCTACCTTCCACTCCAGCATGCCAGTGTTGCCCTTATCAGAGGTTAACACCCTCCAGTATTATTACCTCTCCAACACAATTGGCCCTTCTTGGGAATGCTACCATGACGCCAACACACTGCCCATCATTTTTATCATAACCAGAATTCCTTTACAGTCCCGGCAAGTGCAACTGTACAAGACACATTTACTACCGGAGTAATCACAGCAGCTACAGCTCATGCAATCTGACACAATGACTCCAGTGTATCTAGCCCTTGTTACCTCTGTTTACAGGATGATCGATTGGGTGTCTTGGCCTTTAGTGAAGAACATTGACAAGTGGATAATCGCTTTACTAAAGGGTTTGGCCGCTGTGAAAAAATTTAGCATATTGATTGAAGTCACCCTTTCCAAAATACAAAAGGTCAGTTCTGTTCAACATCTTATTCTGCTGAGTATAATACCTTGTATGTTGAATTCAAAATCACACTCACACTATTCTCAGTATTACAAATGAACGATAAAAGTGCTCACACTGTGTGCTTTCTAGAAACTCATCTGTTGCTGATGCTTAGTGAGGGTTGTAATTGACCCCAGGAATTTTAGAAATGAGGGATGGAGCTTGATTGTGGGTATAGTTGAAGATGTGGGCTTGTGATGTGCGCTTGTGAGTTCCATTACTTGTTATGAAATCAGAATTTGCATTGAGTAGTAGATACATCACTTACGCATCCAAGGCTTTTCATGGACTTGCCAAGGCTCGCAACCAAATCGGTATTTTCATCCACTGGTGGATACACTAATTATGCATCCAAGGCTCTTGCAGTCAAGGCTCTAAATAGCTGCATTAAAGCTGTCACTGCATTAAACTTGCAAGCCAGGTTATCGTTAGCTGCATTAAAGGCTTAAATTCCTATTCATACAATGATTGAAATACCTACCTGGAGCTCGCCAGTGCTCGCGGCCACACAACCTGCATCTGGTCTTGTCCTGCAGGATCCATTTTTTTGCTTTACAAGCATATCAATGACACGCAGAACCACACTCATTGCCAACAAGTGCAGTCCTGCATTAGCAGTGCTCTCAGCTAACGAGTGCAGCCCTGCATTAGCAGTGCTCTCAGCTAAGGAGTGCAGTCCTGCATTAGCAGTGCTCTCAGCTAAGGAGTGCAGTCCTGCATTAGCAGTGCTCTCAGTTAACCAGTGCAGTCCTGCATTAGCAGTGCTATCAGCTAAGGAGTGCAGCCCTGCATTAGCAGTGCTCTCAGCTAACCAGTGCAGTCCTGCATTAGCAGTGCTATCAGCTAAGGAGTGCAGTCCTGCATTAGCAGTGCTCTCAGTTAACCAGTGCAGTCCTGCATTAGCAGTGCTCTGAGCTAACCAGTGCAGTCCTGCATTAGCAGTGCTCTCAGCTAACCAGTGCAGTCCTGCATTAACAGTGCTCTCAGCTAACCAGTGCAGTCCTGCATTAGCAGTGCTCTCAGCTAACCAGTGCAGTCCTGCATTAACAGTGCTCTCAGCTAACGAGTGCAGTCCTGCATTAGCAGTGCTCTCAGCTGACTAGTGTAGCCCTGCATTAGCAGTGCTCTCAGCTAACCAGTGCAGTCCTGCATTAACAGTGCTCTCAGCTAACGAGTGCAGTCCTGCATTAGCAGTGCTCTCAGCTAATGAGTGCAGTCCTGCACTATCTGTGTTTCATTCTATACACACACCCAGCTTTTCATGCAGGCAAAGATCAGAATGCGACACAAGTAAGTTGTGAAACCGTAAGTTGTGAAACCGTACTAATATGGTTAGTCTAATTCCTTTTTTGTTATCATACATTAATGTGAGTCCATGTCATTCTTTAACCTTTTCATGGCATGCTCAGGTGTGACCTAGTTTTGTTTAATTTCATTATTAGCTTTGTATAATGTAAAATATTTTAATGTTGTTGTCTCATAATGTACGAATCCACGTTGACATGTTTTATCCATTTTCCGCCTCATTATGTTGTATTTAATTTGTCTATTCTGTTCTTTGACAACACTAATAAAAAAATTATAATTTACTTTAAAAAAACGGTTTATCTACTTACCTGCGATTGCGCCAGGGCTTTACTTCCACTATAACCACAGGCTGTAGTGGTTATGGTTCTTAGAGCCAATCATTGCATGAAGTATGCGTGTTCAGGCTTAGTCCTTTTTACTGGTAGGGTGTGTTTGCAATGTTGTAAAATATAGCAACAATGTTGGAAAGTAGTCTACTATCGGTGATAGTGACAGCGTATTGCGATTATTTAGCATCAGAAACAATAGGAAGATATTTAATGGATTAATTAAAATCCTTTATTGTAATCTTAACTCAGTTGGTAAATAACCCATTCGAAATGATTTGATTTAATACAATTGGAGGTATACTGGAGGATTTGTATTCAGCAATACGGGGGAATCGGCGGGAACATTCCATTGGATTACATGGTGATTGATTCACATTCACAAATGTTACCCCCAATTACTCTCTGTGCATGGCATCCATTGTGCTTCCTGTATCTTAATGTTGGTGATGTACATGGCATTATTCATTGTATGTTGTTTATGCTCCCAGGTGTTCTCCAAGCTGATATATCCTGTAGTCCGGGAAGGAGCCCTCTCTGTTCTCAGGTATATGTTGCTGAGTTTCCAGCATTCACCCGAAGCATTTCATTTGGTAAGGATTAGTTTGACCTGGATTTTTGTCCCACCAGACATTACCCCAACAGTCTTAATGTAACATTCCTCCAGGGTGGGGAAGATAATAGATTTTTTTAAAAAAACATACGCTGCTTCTACCACTTCAAATCACTGAAGTGGTCTTGGTGGTTGGAGTAACCCTTTAACTTTAAAATTCACCTTGAATTCAATTTGAATTCTTACTTTAGTCAATAACTCTTTTTGTGTTAAATGGTACATGAATATCTAACGAGTTTGCCAAAAGCTGCTTATTCCTGCCTTTGTCAATAATGTAAAACTGATAAAAATCTTCTGATTATTAACTTTTTTCCACTTTAACTTAAACCACAACGCTCTTTTGCCTCAAGTGATACACTTCACTCTCTGAATTTTATGCCCACATACACTCAGTGCGTTCTGGGTATGTGCTGTACCGGTCAGTCTGGTTTGCATATCTTGTATCACATTTAAATGGATAAAGTAGAATCTAACCAAAGGGGCAACAAACATTATAGCAAATGAACATTTTGTAGCCATATTAGATGACCATTGCCCTATGTGTATTGTACCTCACTCATAGGTTCTACAGTTTTCTATTATACTCTACATTGTATCTACTTCAAGAAGATATGTAATAAATGGGTTAATATTATTCACATTATACTGACCACATGTACAATAAATGGGAGACTGTCTACACATCAGGCAGGAGATGTCTGCTTCTCATGTATCCACAGGGCCTGTAGACTTGGGTTCGATAAGCTTTCCTCTTCACACTGTTGGCCTTTTATGCCGAATAATATAGAATTTCCTCATAGGTTCCTAATGCACCTTTTCTGATTGGCTGCCTATTACGTATTCTTTAAAATTCTGCGGATGACAAATTACCCCCCAAGTAACTATAGAGATATTTATTGTGCTGTTAGCAAATGTCTACATTAAAATATATACTTAGCGAACATTGCTTTCTCACCCTGTAATAAGGCAGGCGAATGCAGCCTTGTCACGTGGTTCCTATAATATCTGGACTATTTTCTAAAGCAGCACAGACACTTTTTAGTTTTCTTTTAGAATCAGAAGTTATACCATAGACAAAGTAGGGACTATCTTTTCTCATGCAAGGGCTGGATTTTTGTCCAAATGCGGCAAATCGAGAGATTTTAAGTTCTTTTCACAGGAACATTTTGTCATTTTTCCATTTGTAGTGACTAGTGTTTTTTAATGTAAGTTAGGTAAGTATATTTGTCGTTCCCCATCACACACGGCGGGCCAACTTGGAAACACACATGTCACCGTGGAAAGGTCTCTGCAAGAAAAGCAAACATTTTTTTTTTTTCTTTTAAATGTGAAGACCCCATAAGTGACAGTGTCATTTTAAGGAGGTTAAAAAATAAATAAATAAAAATATGTATCTTTCAATCTATGCATTTCCAACAATTTGATTAACAATTTCGAGATTTAAGATTTTTAGACAGGTAATCGTCAGATCAGGCAGGATAATTGGCTTTTTGACTCCTTGTTCCCTTACCGATCAACTAAAGTGAATCAATAAAACATATATTAGAATATACATAGTTAATGCATAAAAAGTTAATTGTACATGGTTTATTTTAAAGCCTCTGTTGCTTGTTCTCAGTTTAAAACTACATTATATTAACATTATTTTTTTCTAGCATAATAGCCACCATAATGAACGATTATTGTCTGTGTCCTTCCTTAGATTATTCCCCACATACCTCAGCTGATTCTCTGCCTCGCCAGAGAAAGCTCTAATTCGGCAAGCAGTTGCCTTGAGCAGTTGGCCGAACTCATTCACTGCATGGTCTTCCGTTTCTCCGGATACCCTGACCTCTACGAGCCTGTGATGGAGGCAATAAAGGTGCGAGAGACTTTTGTAGGACTTTGGAGGGGGGAGGGGGTATGTCTGACCTTAGCCCTCTAATTGTTGGATTACAATTCTCAGAATTAATATCAAGGTCTAGGGCAGATATGTGTCAAACAGAAGTCCTACCAGATGTTACTGCACTATAACTTCCTTAATATACTGTGCCAGCCATATTATTATGGTGATTTATAGCAGTTGTAATTAAAAATTACATATTGGAAGAAGCAGAGTTAAACACAGTCCAGAGATCAGTTGTCTTTTTTAAAGTGTTATATTATAAATGCCGTGTTTTTAAATCTTTGTTACAGGAGGTCTGTTGCCTTCCCTTTAGCATTGAAAATATTTAATATGTTTTATCAGTGTTATTGATCACTTCGTGGGATTCAAAAATTTTAGTAACCAGTTCCGACTTTTCATAGGTTTTCGATTCCACACAGCCGCATTATTGACCAGTTCGGCAAACTTTTAGCAAACTGGTCGAATCCCATGACTCGTATTGATGTATGGACAGGTTAACTGTATACATTCCAATTATTTACCCTTAGCCCTTGGGAAATATTGCAGAATAAGCTTTACATTGAAATACAGCCAAATACTGTGCAGTATAAATCATTGATTCCTATACAGGCCGTCTTACTAAACAATGAGAGCACATACCATTATTTATCAGAAAGCGAGAATTAAAGAAATAAAAAAGCTAAAACATTACTTAATGGACATGTGACTGAAAATTAGATTTTCATTATTTGACATTATTTTAGAGAGAAATACTGTGTAGTTAGACTGGTTTCCCTGAAAGAGACATGGATCACATATCAATATCCCATTTAAAGACACAGAATTTATTAATTTGGGGAACAAATAAATCATTTTTTTAACCACTGAATCATCAAGCCTGTATTTTACATATCATGTTAAATGTTCTGCATCCGAGCAGATAAATCGATGGTTCCATTTCAGATAAATGGTCACTAATTGTTATATATTTATATCTTGATAGAAACTCCCCACACCAAATGAAGACAAAATAAAACAGTTGCTCGGGCAGAATGCATGGACCTCCCAGAAAAATGAACTGGCTTCCTATTACCCCAGACTCGCAGCAAAATCCGACACAGGGAAAATTGGCCTGATCAACCTAGGAAATACATGTTACATGAACAGCATACTGCAAGCCCTGTTCATGGCATCAGAGTAAGTGAAATATACAAACACACAGAACTGGGTTTTATATTATACACAGAACTGGGTTCACAGTTCGATAGCAGCATTATAATACTCTGTAATATGTTTAGACCTGGAAAAGACAGCCATTAACCACATCAGCACCCCAACATGTACCATTTATTAACTACTTCATATATTCCTCTCAATCAGAAAATGACTGCAGAACCCTTACAGCCTGTATCCACTGCCACCAGCACTCTATCAGTCTGTATCCCCTGCCACCAGCACTTTAATAGTCTGTATCCACTGCCACCAGCACTCTATCAGTCTGTATCCACTGCCACCAGCACTCTAACAGTCTGTAATCACTGCCACCAGCACTCTATCAGTCTGTATCTACTGCCACCAGCACTCTGACAGCCTGTAATCACTGCCACCAGCACTCTATCAGTCTGTATCACTGCCACCAGCACTCTATCAGTCTGTATCCACTGCCACCAGCACTTTAATAGTCTGTATCCACTGCCACCAGCACTCTATCAGTCTGTATCCCCTGCCACCAGCACTCCATCAGTCTGTATCCACTGCCACCAGCACTCTATCAGTCTGTATCCACTGCCACCAGCACTCTAACAGTCTGTAATCACTGCCACCAGCACTCTAACAGTCTGTAATCACTGCCACCAGCACTTTAATAGTCTGTATCCACTGCCACCAGCACTCTATCAGTCTGTATCCCCTGCCACCAGCACTCTATCAGTCTGTATCCACTGCCACCAGCACTCTATCAGTCTGTATCCACTGCCACCAGCACTCTAACAGTCTGTAATCACTGCCACCAGCACTCTATCAGTCTGTATCCCCTGCCACCAGCACTCTATCAGTCTGTATCCACTGCCACCAGCACTCTATCAGTCTGTATCACTGCCACCAGCACTCTAACAGTCTGTAATCACTGCCACCAGCACTTTAATAGTCTGTATCCCCTGCCACCAGCACTCTATCAGTCTGTATCCCCTGCCACCAGCACTTTAATAGTCTGTATCCCCCGCCACCAGCACTCTATCAGTCTGTATCCACTGCCACCAGCACTTTAATAGTCTGTATCCCCTGCCACCAGCACTCTATCAGTCTGGTATTCCCATTACACAGACTGATGCTGTTGGAGTATTTGATGCAGTACTTGTGCTCTTCTAATAAAGTTAAATGCAGCGAGGTGCGTAGATCCATAATTAGACTGCATGGTCCGGAGGGAGGACGCACATTCCATGTTTATTGATTAACTTTGCACGGCTCCGGGATAACAGACTCCTCTATATTTACAGCTACTTAACACTTTCACTGCCACTGGGGAGCAATATCTACTCATGTGTTGGTAGAATGTGCATTAGTAAGGTTTGTAATAGGTAGGGTACATTTTGTTAACCTTGTTAATATTTGCCATAACGTTTGTCTTGCATTTGCTTTTGTTAAAGATTTTTTATTGAGGTTTTTACGTACAAACAGTGCTCTATAGAAACACAAATAAACAAACAATTTAAAGTAATAGTTACTGAAAGTTCCTTCATTTCAAAGCAGAGATGTCCATAAGGTAGATCCCTAGTAGTTACAATTGAGTCTCTTGCTTCCCTTCTTTCCTTGTCTCACCTTCTTGCCCTCTACGACAGTGTTCTGGTTTATAGTGAGAAACCTCTTGGCATCTAGTTCCCATGCACATTTCCAGTTAGAATAATAAAGTCACATCCACATGTAGGCATTGATTGTCAATGTAATGAGTGTGGGGGCGCTGCTCGATTTGTTTCTTTAACATTAGTAGAAAATACAGCAAGTCTGATGAAGATGGACTGTCCTTCACCAGAATGACCGTTCATGATCTGCAGATGGAATAGCAGTAAAGGGTCAGATACAATATCATGTCAATAAGTACCACAGGGCACATGAAGACAGTCAGGAATAGACACATAAGCAGGACAAGTCCAGGCTGGCACTTGGGCATGGAATCAGGAAACACCATATCATGCTGTAATACACAGCCCTGCAAAATGAATATTGGCTGGAACTCTACAATGGAACCAACCTGAAGCAAAGCTCAGACACAATATGGCAAAGAGGGAGCAGAGGACAGTATTAGGGACCAGGAACTAGACAGAGACAGAACTAGATGCAAAAACTCCTTTATTAATAAATAACAAATAAAGAAATAACCAAAAGCAAAGTCCAGGAGGCAAGCAGGGGTCAGTCACCAGAGCGGGTAGTCAGACGAGCCAGGATCAGGAGAACGGAGAGCAGCGGAGTCGGGAACAAGGCCAGAGTCAGGAACAAACAGGAACACACAGGAAACACAGGAACAAGGAGACTTCTGGGAAACAGGAAACCACGAAAGGGCAAGGAGGTACTGGGATTTGCTGCTTAAATAGGCTGAACTGATTAGCAGCAGGGTTGATTACTATTCTCAGGTGAGTAACCGTGGCAACATAGTGAAGGAGCTGATCGTTAATCTCAGCTGAAAACTCAGACACAGAAAAAGAAGGGGTTGCTGTTTAACCCCTTAAATCCGGAGGGCGTACAATTACGCCCTGCAGAAGCTGGCTCTAAACGCTGGCGGGCGTAATAGTACGCCCTCGCTATAATGGCCTCCCACGTGGCCGGCGCTGATCGCCAGCTGCAGATCGCGGTCGGGGGGATGTCTGGCCCCCCAGGCAACGCCCCCTGTGGCCGGTGACCGCGATCTGCAGCCTCTGATCGCAGTGACAGGCTGTCACTGCGATCAGTATTTACACGTGGCCGGCGGCTTTCCCCTGTGCAGATCGCAGTCGGAGGACATACCTGGCCCCCCAGGCAGTCCCCCTGGGGTCAGTGACTGCGATCTGCACTGTCTGAGATCGCAGTGACAGGCTGTCACTGCGATCTCAGAGCGCTCTGATCGCAGTGACAGTCTGTCACTGCGATCAGTGTTACATGTGTCAGCCTAATGGCTGATACATGTAACAAGCGCAATGATCCCCCTGCAGATCGGTAGGGGGAGTGCTTGTACCACCCAGGCACTCCCCCTATGGTCAATTACCCAATCTGCAGGAGGTGATCACAGTGACAGCCAGTCACTGTGATCACTGATCCCGTGTGTCAGCCAGTGATGTGAAATCACTGGCTGACACTGTCTCTGCCCCATCTCCTGTAATAAAAATAAAATATTAGTTATAAAAAAAATTAATTACAGTTACAAATAAAATATACTTAGATCATATATATTATATATATGATCTAAGTATATATATATATATATATATATATATACACACACACATTTACACATACACTAAGTATATTTTAATATTAATATATATAATTATATATATATATATATATATATTAATATCAAAATACACGTAGAAGGATATTGATTAAATATATATATATAATTATATATATATAATAAAAAATATGTAACTACATAAAAAATAAATAAATAATATATATATATATATATATGTGTGTAATTTCATTCTAACTGTATTTTGATAATAAATATATATATATATATATATATATATATATATTGATATCAAAATACACGTAGAAAGAAATAATATATATCACTATATATATACCTATATATAAATAAAAATAATGAAAAAAAATATTATATATATTTGTGTTCAGCAAAGTCTCCTGAGTATAACAGTACCCCTCATGTACAGGTTTTATGGTGTTTTCAAAAGTTACAGAGTCAAATATAAGACTTGCGTTTCAGTTTTTTCACATTGAAATTCGCCAGATTGGTTATGTTGCATTTGAGACTTTATGGTAACCCAGGAATAAGAATTACCCCCATGATGGCATACCATTTGCAAAAGTAGACAATCCAAGGTATTGCAAATGTTCAGTCTTTTTTAGTAGCCACTTAGTCACAAACACTGGCCAAAATTGGCGTTCAAATGAGTTTTTTGCATTTTTCACACACAAACAAATATTAACATTAACTTTGGCTGGCCAATCAGCATCTCCTCATAGAGATGAATTGAATCAATGAATCTCTATGAGGAAAGTTCTGTGTCTGCATGCAGAGGGAGGAGATACTGACTGTTTGGATGCATTTTAGGCAGCCATGACCCAGGAAGGATCTCTAACAGCTATCTGAGGAGTGGCCAGTGAAGTTATCACTAGGCTGTAATGTAAACACTGCATTTTCTCTGAAAAGAGAGTGTTTACAGCAAAAAGCCTGAAGGTAATGATTATTCACCAAAGCTTGAATTGTGAGAAATTCAAAGTGAATTTTAAATTTGAAGCCAAAAAACTTCTTCATTTCAGACTGTTTTTTGACAATTCATACGGACGGTTCGTACTGTAGTGCCTGACCCTAAAAGGGTGTGAAATTCTCAGGGTACTTATAACTCCTATTAGAGTTCTATAATGCTTAGTACACAGATAATAGATTAACGTTGAGTTTCTGTTTGCTAATGATTATATATATTTCAGTTTTAGACACTCCGTGCTCTGTTTGAGAGACAGTAATTCCCAGCCGCTGATGATGAAACTGCAGTATCTGTTTGCTTTTTTAGAACACAGTCAGGTGAGTAAGCCAATGCGAGCATGTTCGAAAATATATAATGCAATCCATTGGGCCTCTTGTAACTATTTCCAGTTTTTTTTGCTAAACCATAAAATGGATTTGAATGAATTTAAGGCCAAAATAGCTGTGTTGTCGAATTAAAGTATTTTGTCCTAAAATTGCATCTTACTTCTCAATTCCCGCCAAAATTCAGAATCCAGAGAATAATCATGTTAGTTTATTAAAACAATGGTGTTTATCTTATTAAAACAACATTCACCTTCAGTGTTCAGTCCAACAACACAAATAGACAGACTGATCGATGGACGGGCAGACAGACAGATCAGTCGACGGATAGGCAGACAGACAGTTCGATCGATGGACGGGCAGACAGACAGACAGATCGACGGAGGGACAGACAGATTGAACGATCGACGGATGGGCAGACAGGTCGATTGACGGAAGGGCAGACAGATCGATCGACGGATGGGAAGACAGATAGTTAGATAGAAAGATTAGATACATATTGGTAATTTTCATGCTACATTAAAGGGACACTCTAGGCACCATAACCACTACAGCTCTTGTAGTAGACAAGAATCATTTTGGTGCCAAGTTGACAAAAAATAAACAGGCCTTTCCCAGCATCCAAAACCTGGCACCTCCAATGTTTAGTCTCAAACTACTAAAAAGTGGTTTGGCAATAAGAGGGAGAGGTGCACCCAAAAACTCTTACCATAACCATAATAATGAGCTGTAGTGGTTATGGTGCTTAATGTGTCCCTTTACCCAAGGAAGAGAACATTCTCTGTACATATGAACATTCCATATGTATTCTACAGATTGAGAATTCCCAAGAATCTGGACTACTCAAGTAAAATCATACATTTTCTTTATACGGGAAAGTGCTCTGCGGTTTGGGTTGCAAAGCAATGTTGTATAACTAAATAACTATTCCAAATTCAGTACCTCCCTCACCTTTCACCTTTTTCCTATTTCTCCAGCGTCCTGCCATCTCACCTGAAAGTTTCCTCGCTTCTTCGTGGCCTCCGTGGTTCACTCCAGGAGTTCAGCAAGACTGCTCTGAGTATTTGAAGTACCTTCTAGATCAGTAAGAAGATAATGCATGCATCTTTAAAACTGGCCAGAGAGTTTGAGCCTGGAGTGACAGAAGTATCAAACAGTCTTCAGTCTTTTAAGTTCACCCAATAAATCTAGTGGGATTCACTGACTACTCAAACATTCTTAATACAAGACGCCTTTCATGTCCTATACTACAATGAATCCAAAGAGTTGGGCATACAAAGCCCATACAAAGGGCCTGTGGCTGCTCACTGTTAAAAAAACCCCCAAAAAAACCAATCAGAGTAATGTGACAGGTAAATGTAGAGACTTACCTGTCAGTCTCTTCATTTACCTGTCAGAGCACTCTGATTGGATGGCTTAAACCCACCAATCAGAGTGCTCTGAGTCTAATTGCAGGGCGGGGCAAGGCTTTATAAGCCTTGCCCCGCACTGCAGAACTCAGTCTGCACGGAGCCCTCGCTGGGTGAAGATGGATTATTTTTTTTGGCGCTAAGGTTTTTTTTTTTTTTAATTCCGTCGGTTATTATGGATTTTTATTTGGCCTTTTTGGGGCTGAAAAAAAGAAGATTTTAGAAGAAAGAAAACATCAAATGGTAAGTTTATATTTATTTTTACAGGTACTTAGTTAAAGGTCCCCCCCCCCTCATATTTTTAGGATAGGGGGTAGGTAGGGGTTTATTTTTGGGGGGAGGGGGTGACTAGGGGTTTGGGGACCCCTAGTCACCTGTGAGAAGGGGGGTTAAATTTGTATTTAGGGCCCCCACCTGGCGCTCAGGGGTGGGGGCAGGGGGGGAGGACGTTAGGTCCTCCCCAATTTTATTTAGGGCCCCCACCCACCGCTCAGGGGTGAGGGCCAGGGGAGAGGACATTAGGTCCCCCCCTTATTCTAGTTTAGGGCCCCCACCCACCGCTCAGGGGTGGGGGCCAGGGGGGAGGACATTAGGTCCCCCCCCTTATTCTTTTTTAGGGCCCCCACCCACCGCTCAGGGGTAGGGGCCTAGGGGAAGGAAATTAGGTCCCCCCCTTATTCTAGTCTAGGGTCCCCACCCACCACTCAGGGGTGGGGGCCAGGGGGAGAACCTTAGGTCCCCCCCAATTTGTATTTAGGGCCCCCACCCACTGCTCAGGGGTGGGGGCCATGGGGGAGGACATTAGGTCCCCCCTTATTCTTGTTTAGGGCCCCCACCCATCGCTCAGGGGTGGGGGCCAAGGGGGAGGACATTAGGTCCCCCCCCTATTCTAGTTTAGGGCCCCCACCCACCGCTCAGGGGTGGGAAGGACAATAGGTATATTGCGATATAGCAAGTAGGGGCATAATTTACTAATACTAAGTAATCTTTACTTAGTATTAGTAAATTTGGCTGAAAGACCAATTCAGGTCTTTCAGCCTTTTAGTAAATAGCTCCCTAATACTGTGGGAATTAGGGAGTTATCTACTTATTCATTCCTGTCATTACATGACTGGCTAAGTAACTTACATTTTATATGAATGTGTGTTACTTGATTGTTGTAAGTGTTGCAAACGCTTACAGCTGAATCCTGGCTATGTTTTCACTGGGTAAATATATTAGTACTTAGGCAATACTGTGCTTCGGAACTTCGGCACGTTGACATCTCGGAACTTCGGCAACTTTGGAAATTCGGTAATTTCGGCACTTCAACAATGCAGCTATTCGGACATTCGGAAGCACCTGAATGTTCGAATTACCCGAAATTCGGCCAAATTTTAATTCGGACCGAAACGAATTGCACATGTCTAATTGCTGTCATCATCATACCTTGGAATATTAACTTAATGTTATATCAATCAAAATAAAAGTGCAAGTTTGGGGTAGATAGAGTGGCCCAAAAGAACAAAAACTAAAAACAACCACTGGAAATGACAGTAGGAGGGGAAAAAGAATGGTTAAAAGAGGGTGAAAAAAGGACAGTGTTAATTTGACTTGAGAACATTTTGTGGCCATGAATTTTAACTATTACTTTGCATCTTTTTTATGTAAATTTGCAGGCTTCATGAAGAAGAGAAAACGGGAAAGAGAATATCTCAAATGCTTGCTCAAGCAAGTGGTGGCAATCAGTTGAAGACGTCACAGTCATGCAGCATGACATTAATTGAGCAGATGTTTGGCGGAAGAATTCTAACAAGAATTCGTTGTTTCAAATGTCAAGGTGTTTCTTCCAGAGAAGAAAAATTTACCGACTTGTCACTTGCTTTTCCTCCAAAGGATGGCAGTATGCCCAATTTTCAAAAAAACCCACATACTTCAGTTTTACCAGTTGAAGAAATAGGACCACAGAATTCTGAGATAGCACCTAAAGTCCAAGGTCATCAGACCACCACATTTCCAGAAAGTTTGAGATGGCATCAGAAAGCAGAGGAGCATTGTGGGATGGTAGCACCTATTGAGTCTTTGGGTTCTCAAGGAAAAATAAGTCAACAGGAGTCTTTCATGTCAATGGCTGAAGACAAAGATGAAAATAACTGTTCTGTTTTAGAAAGCAGGAATGCTTTAACTGTCTTGTCTAGGAAAACAACTACCGGCTTCAAATCTTCCCTTGCCTTGGCTGATTTAATCAACCATTTCCTTAGTCCAGAGATGCTTACATCAGAAAATAAGTACCGTTGTGAAACATGTGTCTCCTTACAGGATGCTGAGAAGGTTGTTGAACTTACCACAAGTCCAAAGTACCTTATTTTGACTCTGCTCAGGTTTTCTTTTGATTTGAAGACCATGAGGAGAAAAAAGATATTGGACAATGTATCTGTTCCATTGGTTCTGAAGTTGCCTGTTACTGTGGAAGCCTCTCAGACAGGTGGTGGAACCACAGAAAGAAACACAAGGCGTGGTTTAGCCAAGGATCATCAGTCTGTCACCTATGATCTATGCACTGTAATTGTACATTCTGGATTATCCTCAGAAAGTGGACACTACTATTGTTATGCTAGAGACTGTACGGATAAAGACAGTCAGAGACAGTCAAGTGCTGGTATTAAACGGTTTACCTCTGACAAACATATAGACCTGGAAATTCAGTGGTACCTCTTCAATGACACTCGAGTTTCGTTCTCATCATTTGAATCAGCCAGCAACGTAACATCTTTTTTCCCTAAAGACACAGCGTATGTACTTTTGTATAGACAGAGACATCAGAGAAATATGGGTTCTGGTTCCGACTTGGCAAAAGTTGATGCTATGTCACACGGAGACATCTCTCTTAACAAAGAGCTGATGGAAGCCATCACCAAAGACAATATTAAGTATTTGCAGGTATGTTTAAGCAAAATATCTTATTGTTATACATTTGCTCAGCTCTTAATCTCCCCAGGTCTCCTTTCGAAATCAATATTGCATCCAGTTTTAATGCACAGTTGAAAATGTCTACTAAATAATATTCTACCTAATAATGTAATAAAAAATTCATCCTTAAAGGACCACTATAGTGCCAGGAAAACATACTCGTTTTCCTGGCACTATAGTGCCCTGAGGGTGCCCCCACCCTTAGGGTCCCCCTCCCGCCGGGCTCTAGGGGGTGGAAGGGGTTAAACTTACCTCTTTCTACAACGCCGGGCGGGGAGCTCTCCTCCTCCTCGGCTGAATGCGCATGCGTGGCAAGAGATGCGCGCGCATTCAGCCACTCTCATAGGAAAGCATTCTCAATGCTTTCCTATGGACGCTGGCGTCTTCTCACTGTGATTTTTACAGTGAGTAGCACGCAAGAGCCTCTAGCAGCTGTCAACGAGACAGCCACTAGAGGCTGGATTAACCCTATTATAAACATAGCAGTTTCTCTGAAACTGCTATGTTTATAGAAAAAAGGGTTAACCCTAGCTGGACCTGGCACCCAGACCACTTCATTAAGCTGCAGTGGTCTGGGTGCCTATAGTGGTCCTTTAAGCCAATATTAACCAATTATCTGTTAAACAACGCAGAGGTGATTTTGGCCCCCTGTCAGTTCATTAAATTGAGCAATCCCTATGCAGACTAAAATATAATCCCAAAATACCATTCATACTCAGAATTGGCAGGCAATCTGATACATGCTGTTGGGATTACTAAATAATTTGAAAGCAGAATTGACAAGGGTATTGCAAGTTTTAAACCAAAATAGCAGAGCTGTAGAAATATCTGCCTTGGGGTTTATTTCCAATTTGTCTATATTAGCTTGTAATATATAATTCCAATACAGTTACTTGGATTCCACCTGCAGGACTCAATTACAGCTGTCCAGGCATTTCCCCATTTTACGTCATAATCACTGGGTCTAATATGTATGTGCTGAAGGTTTTACTGAGTGCTCTATTGTCTTTAAGGTGATATAGGGGAAGTGTGATCTTTTGTTCTCCTTAAAGGGTCATTATAGTCACCAGAACAACTACAGCTTAATGTAGTTGTTGTGGTGTGTATAGTCTGTCCATGCAGGCATTCCGCTCCACTCGGGAGCTGACGTTGGAGGGGGAGGAGAGGTCACCAGCGCCAAGGGAGCCCGGCGCTGGATAAAGGTAAGTGACTGAAGGGGTCCCAGTGGGAGGGGGACCTTGAGGGTGGGGGGGACCTAAGGGTTATATAGTGTCAGGAAAACAAGTTTGTTTTCCTGACACTATAGTGATCCTTTAATGTAAACACTGTCTTTTCAGAGAAAAGGCAGTGTTTACATTACAGCCTAGGAACACCTCTAGTGGCATTCACTCAGACGGTCACTAGAGGTGCTTCCTGGGTCAGTGCTGCATGGAGGCACTGAACGTCCCTTATAGATATGCATTGATTAAATCATGAGATGCTGATTGGTGGAGGACGGAGGTTTGCTGTGCATGCACAATATCCTCCTGAGGCTTTCCGGTGGAGAGCATTGGATTGGCGGAGATTGTCAATTTTGATGATCTTAGCAAGGACGTGGAACGGGGTGGAGCCAGCCAAAACAGACCCATGCAGTGCCCATGCAGTGCTAGAAAAAGTTGAGTAAAATCAGCTTTTACATTGCTTTAATGGGGGCCTGTGACCTAAGCATCGCTTTCACAGCTATAGTGACAGGAATACATGTTTGTTTTTCTGCCACTATAGTGCTCCTTTAACTTATTTCTCTCTTGCTATGGCGCCATTTTTCCTTTCAGATCTTCATATGGGGCTCTGACTTCTACTGGTCTTCTAATTCAATTCTGCAAAATGTTAACACTAGTGGCAGGATGAAGTACTGAGTTCCCATCACGGCAAACATTTCAAATGGATGAAGAGGGACACTCTTATTTTAGGGGTATGGCCAGGGACTAGCTGTTCTGATGTGTTTTACTAATAAATGTTTATGTAACTAAAATGGAATTTTGAATAAGAACAATTCCTTTTATTTGCACAGACTAATTTCTAGACCAGGGGTAGGCAACCTACGGCACTAGTGTCATGCATGGCACTCGAGGTGCCTTTGCACGGCACTCAAGGCTGCTAGAGCCAAACAGGCTCTGGCCTATTAGGAGTCCCAGTAAAACTCCAGATATCTGCTAATACGAAGAGCTGGTGAAGGACAATCCTCAATTTATGCATTGAGGCACGTAGAGGAAGTGATCTCAGAGCACTTCATTCCAGCACTTGTGAATGGGAATCCACACAGTACTCGCAGTTGTAGTTGCAGCTCCTGTCCTTGACCTGTACCTGGCCGGCCTGTTGCCCACTGGAACCCAGGGAAGCCACCCACACTGCTAGATGTACACAGAAATGTAGAAAGACCCTCCCCTCATACAAATAATACAGACGGCCCACACACAAACATACACACAATCTGCACAAACATACACACAATCCGCACAAACGCAACACCACTAACAATCCACATACATGCACACAACCCCACATGCAGCCTCTCACATGCTATACCCCAAACAGCCCCCACACATACACACACTACCAAACACACAATGTGACATATCCATCCACACACACAATTCCACAAGCTGCCCCCATACACAGCCCACATTCATATGTATCATACATGATACCACAATCTACTCATGAACATATACAATATAATAGCTCATATACGCACAAATACAATGATACAAAGCAATTACAGTATAAATAACACAAGCAGAATACGGCAGCATACACACCCCAATTAAAAAAATTTAAAAATAGGATCGGCACGCTACGGGACATCACAATCCTATATCGGCATAGTGCTGCTAAAAGGTTGCCTACCCCTGTTCTAGACACATTTGTTGTAGTGTTATGTGAGTCCTTCTCCTGCTTGTTATGATCATCACACTCCATTACCAGTGCATAATACTGAATAAACTGCAAGTAGGCTTTAATAATAATCAATTGGGGGGAGGTTGGGGGGGTGAGCTGTAGGGCATAGGGACTGCAATTGGGAGGTTAGTGGCTGTAGTAAAGAGTAAGGGGCATTAGTAGGAGAGGTTAGGGCTGTCGAAAGGAGTAAGGGGCTTTAGTAGCGATATTAGGGGCTGAAGAAAGGAGTAAGGGGCTTTAGTAGCGATATTAGGGGCTGAAGAAAGGAGTAAAGGGTTTTAGTAGGAGAGGTTAGGGGCTGTAGAAAGGAGTAAGGGGCTTTAGTAGGAGAGGTTAGGGGCTGTAGAAAGAAATAAGGGGCTTTAGTAGGGGAGGTTTGGGCTGTATAAAGGAATAAAGGGCTTTAGTGGGGTGTTAGGGCTGTAGTAAGGAGTAAGGGAATTTAATAGGGAAGGTTAGTAGTTCTACTGGGAGATTTGGGGTGTATTAGGGCATTGGGGCTGCAACTGGGGGGGCTGAAGAAAAAAAAATAGTGTATTCCTCCCTCCCTGAGGGTCAGAGTCTGTCACGAGGGGGTTGAAACTAGTGCTGCCGATGCACTTCTATCTACAAGTGGTGTAGATAGAAGGGCAGCAGTGAAGCAGGACAATCTACTCATGAACATATACAATATAATAGCTCATATACGCACAAATACAATGATACAAAGCAATTACAGTATAAATAACACAAGCAGAATACGGCAGCATACACACCCCAATTAAAAAAATAAAAAAATAGGATCGGCACGCTACGGGACATCACAATCCTATATCGGCATAGTGCTGCTAAAAGGTTGCCTACCCCTGTTCTAGACACATTTGTTGTAGTGTTATGTGAGTCCTTCTCCTGCTTGTTATGATCATCACACTCCATTACCAGTGCATAATACTGAATAAACTGCAAGTAGGCTTTAATAATAATCAATTGGGGGGAGGTTGGGGGGGTGAGCTGTAGGGCATAGGGACTGCAATTGGGAGGTTAGTGGCTGTAGTAAAGAGTAAGGGGCATTAGTAGGAGAGGTTAGGGCTGTCGAAAGGAGTAAGGGGCTTTAGTAGCGATATTAGGGGCTGAAGAAAGGAGTAAGGGGCTTTAGTAGCGATATTAGGGGCTGAAGAAAGGAGTAAAGGGTTTTAGTAGGAGAGGTTAGGGGCTGTAGAAAGGAATAAGAGGCTTTAGTAGGAGAGGTTAGGGCTGTCGAAAGGAGCAAGGGGCATTAGTAGGAGAAGTTAGGGCTGTCGAAAGGAGTAAGGGGCTTTAGTAGAGGTATTAGGGGCTGAAGAAAGGAGTAAAGGGCTTTAGTAGGAGAGGTTAGGGGCTGTAGAAAGGAATAAGGGGCATTAGTAGGAGAGGTTAGGGCTGTCGAAAGGAGTAAGGGGCTTTAGTAGAGGTATTAGGGGCTGAAGAAAGGAGTAAAGGGTTTTAGTAGGAGAGGTTAGGGGCTGTAGAAAGGAATAAGAGGCATTAGTAGGAGATGTTAGGGGCTGAAGAAAGGAGTAAGGGGCTTTAGTAGGAGAGGTTAGGGGCTGTAGAAAGGAATGAGGCATTAGTAGGAGAGGTTAGGGGCTGAAGAAAGGAGTAAAGGGTTTTAGTAGGAGAGGTTAAGGGCTGTAGAAAGGAATAAGAGGCATTAGTAGGAGAGGTTAGGGCTGTCGAAAGGAGTAAGGGGCATTAGTAGGAGAGGTTAGGTCTGTCGAAAGGAGTAAGGGGCATTAGTAGAGGTATTAGGGGCTGAAGAAAGGAGTAAGGGGCTTTAGTAGGAGAGGTTAGGGGCTGTAGAAAGAAATAAGGGGCTTTAGTAGGGGAGGTTTTGGGCTGTATAAAGGAATAAAGGGCTTTAGTGGGGTGTTAGGGCTGTAGTAAGAAGTAAGGGACTTTAATAGGGAAGGTTATGGGCTGTAGTAAGGAGTAAGGGGCTTTAGTAGTGAAGTTAGGGGCTCTACTGGGAGATTAGGGGTGTATTAGGGCATTGGGGCTGCAACTGGGGGGCTGAAGAAAAAAAATAGTGTATTCCTCCCTCCCTGAGACTTACATTGGGTCAGAGTCTGTCGCGAGGGGGTTGAAACTAGTGCTGCCGATGCACTTCTATCTACAAGTGGTGTAGATAGAAGGGCAGCAGCAAAGCAGGACAATCAGAAGCCCTCATCGCACTGCACTATTTTCTCAGGGTGGGGAGAGGGGGCAATTGCCACTGCGATCACTGTGACATGCTGCATATACAGAGTTTAACTCATTGGCTGCCGGACTTGTAGCTCCTCCTCTGGCAACGTCATTTGGGCACCATTAGCCAGTTTGGAACTGGAGATGGCTGGGCTGGCTAATGTCTATGCACAGAGCTGCATTTACTGTCTGAGAGCGGTCAGATAACAAATCCATTTTTGCTTTAGATGTTAATACTGATAAAATTATTTTTTACAGGAACAGGAGAAAGATGCCCGTAACACAGCAGCATACATTTCTCCGCTTCTCAAGTCTCCTCCATGGTGGCATAACAATGATAATGATAGTGATGATGAAGGTTCACCAGGCGGCCTGGGACCATCTGCAGGAGGTTCTGGAACATTCCATGGACTTGTGTTCTAGATGTTTCTACAATTTATTTAAAAAATACATATTTAAAAGGCAGTGTGTCTTCTAACAGTGTACTCTTTTGTCAAATTATGAATCAAAATCAAATGAACTCAGATCTTCTTTAGTTCACTTAGTCCTATAAAGAAGAGAGGGTTTCTTGTCTTCTAGAAAATCTCGAGTACATATTTCCAAGAACTTGATTTCCATAATACTGCTTCGGTAACATTTTCTAGAGATGTTTCCAGATAAAGACAAATGAGTATGGCTAAATACTAACTATTCTCCTGACTAACCCAACCAACAATGGGAACACTCCAATTACCTGGCACCACTACAGTGATTTCCTGTTGCTGTTCCATGGTGAAATGTCAAACCATCTTTGCATATATTGACAACACACTTGGGTCCCGCTGGGTGCTGGAGCCACATCCTCCACTTCCAGTCTTCTCCATTAGTAGAAGGCAGATAAATCTATGTCTAAAATCCGGCTGATGTAGGAACACGCTCATTAGCTTAGAGTGCTCAGTTGATGTCCTCAGCCAATGATTGCAGTCCTGCTTTGCTGTAAGCAGTGATATCTCCTGCTGGAGAATAGCAAATATGCTTTAGGCAGGAATAGTGCTAGACTAATTAAACAAAAAAAAAAAATGGCCAACTTTGTTTGTCTCTTTCACCCCCCAGCCCTTTTCTGTGTCTCTATCTTTCCCAACTCCTTTGTGTGTGTCTTTTTCCCTTTTCCCAGCCCCTATGTGTGGCTCTTCCCAACAGCACCTTTGTGGGTCTTTTTCTCCCCCCAGCCCCTTTTTGTGTCTCTCCCCCACACCCTTGTCTCTTTTTCCCCTTCCCCAGCCCCTCTGTGTGTGTGTTATTGTCCCCTTCCACAGCCCTCTGTTTTATTCTTTGTCCCACCCAGCCATCTGTTTTTCCCCCCAGCCCTACTGTATATCACTTTGTACTCCCAGTCTGTCTGTGTCATTTTGTCCCCCCAGCTGCTTTGTGTGTATCTTTGTCCCTCTCAGCCCTTCCGTGTGCCTCTTTGTTCTCCCTCATCTCTTCGAGGTCTATTACCCTACCTGTTCACCTTTATGTAGCGTGGCCAAGCAGACCGTGGTAGAGGATCTTCTGTTTCCTATACCTGGTCTGACAGGAAGCTGTTTGATACTCTCAGTGAGCACTTCCTGTCAGACCGGGAAGAGGCTACAGAAGATTCTCTACTGCAGTCTGCTCTGCCATGCTACATGCAGTGACCAGCAGGAATAGGAGTCCTGTGCAATGCACTCCGCTTCTGCTGGTCACCCAGAGATTGCATCCCCGGACCAGTGCCCGCTAGGCAGCTGCCTAGTTTGTCTAGCCGTATCACCCAGGTACATTTTTAAACCATACCAAAACGGTATCATATTTTACTGGGGGACTTCATGAGGACCTTCCTGGAAGCATAATGACTACATTGTGCTGCAGGTGTCCTGGTGCTTGGAGTGTTCCTTTAATTGGGCAAGGAAATCATTGGTGGAGGGTAGTATTTGATCTTTGATCTTGCTTGCAGAAATTTATTTTCCAGGGTGTACCTTTTAACATTTGAAATAGCTAAAGAGAGAATCCTTTAGTGTGGGAGTTTGGCTGTAGATTTGAGCAAGAAACCTGCCTTGTCAGGGACTTTTGAGGTCATTTTTTTACCTACAGATCACCATTTATAAAATGAATTTATTTTAAATAAGACTAAAGTGTTTTTTTCCCCATCAAGTTACAAATTAAAGGAGGGTAATGAACATCAAAGAAGAATAGACTATAAGGTAAAATATTCATATAGTTATCCAACAATATATTAAAGATAGGATTCATTAAAATAAAAAAAGAGAATAATTTGATTCTGAACTCCTGCTTTAAAATATTTCCATTGGGGAAGACGCTTTTTGCAGATGTAACAGTGCAGTAATCACATTTGATAAATATCATTACAGTCTGAACAGGCGTCTGAGAATAATTTGCTGATCTCTAAACCGCTCTGCAACCCATGAATTAGAGCAAAGCTAATAATTGAATGATTTAATTAAAATAGCTTCAACACTTGTTCTTTTCCAGAAAATATATATTTTTTTTATGCTATCCACCTCTGTGATTCTTCATTAACTTACAACATGTGCATTTCATCTTGGGTTGAAAATTACTTTTTGAATTTTCTTGTGATTACGTTCTAACCTAATTACCTGGGTACAGTTTGAGAGCCTTTAAAATATTGTCTATTGCTAATGAAGGACAATGAGAAACAAAGTTCATACATTATACATTTGCAATCTGAAATCAAGAATACGAGTCAAATGACAATGCGAAAATGTGTTAATTATAATATATTTAATATTATAATTATATAGCTAAAGGAAAATAGCTTAAAGACACTGAGCTCTGATAGCTGTAATCTACATGAAAAAAATGAATTGTACTTTCACAGTAAAATAACATTTCTGTTTCATTGTGCTATAACAGTAACAGGCCTGAATTCGATCCATTGTTAGCTTATGCTTTTTCACATTTTTGGGGTTATTCATTAAATCTGTTCTCAACGAAAAGCCAAATGGCACAATTTAGGCACAAATAGTTGATCTGGGAAATTTATCCTGCTCTATTATAACAGTTTATCTATATTAGCTCAGCATTTATTTGTTTCCACTGTCATAACGATACAGTTTCATTAGTTTAGTGAAAGGTGTGTATTCTGAAAAAAACTATTACAAAATATACAAAAAAGACAAATATGTGAATATAAAAATGTGAATATGTTAATAAACGTGTGATGTATACAAATTTGTGAATGAACTGTTAAAAAAAAAGTGTGTATATATACTGTATATGAATAAAAAAATACAAAATCAATGTAGGTACATATAGAGAAATAAACATTCTAAAGGATAAATGAACATTTACGTGTATGTTCAAATGCATTATTTCGATAGAACCGAAGAACCGCATACTATCACAGCAAACGCTCCATTTTCATGTGCAATGGATAACGTTTACAATCCTGTTATGTCCCAGTATTTTTAGCATTATGTCTTCCCAAGATTATCACACTTATGTCTAGGTCACATGTAGAAATCCACAACTCTTTATCTTGCAACTGGACGCCCCCATCTTGGTTCACGGTCAATCATTGTTATAAGCCTGGCAGTCTGCATAGATAAAACATTGATTTGCAAAGATTGTCTCGTGTGTGCCAGGACTGAGCTAAATTATGATGTAATTCCGTAAATTTTAAATGCAAATATAAAAGAAATCAGAGTATCACATGAAAAAAATAAATAAACATCATACAGATGGTTTGCAATGTGTTATTCCATGATGCAGTTCCCAGAGAAGGGAGAGTTCCATTTATGATGCATTAACTTAGATCCGAATGCATCTTAGACGTCCTCAGATTAAAGAAACGGAGCAGAAATCTCCACCCTTGCCGGTAAAGTATACAGCGGGCATAGTGTCACCAATGGCGAATCACCGAAGACTGGAAACCCAACACATGGTTTGATGAATATTTATAGCCATGGACCCTTCATGACGTATTGCAATGTGAGGAATGTTTTCTTGGCAATTATTAGGCATTTTAAAACCAGATAAGCATTATTTCAACACTAATTATTTTTTCAGCCTGCAGGTGATCTTGTTCGTCTCTATATCTCCAAACTTTGCCATTTTCCAATCGATGCCTCCACCAGATAAGTTTTTTTTTTTTCCATTTTCCTCAGCTGCGTCGAGCTTGCTTGCTTTATGGGCCTCTGAACTCTCTCTCTAATC